CCCCACCCCCAGCCTCTGCAGCCCATGGGCGATAAGGAAGCACCTCTGCATCCCTCAAGGGTTTTCTCTCTCCCCACAAAACGTCATTCATGTCAAGTTCAATACCACACCGTTCAACCCTGTTCACTGTTTCTAGATACATGCAGGCAGACAACCCTAAGAATGTGGACACTGAGTACACAGTAGAGGTCATCTTCATGGGAAAGTGACGGGGGAGAGAACAGAGGGACTCCCAAGGACCAGGGTGGGGTATTTCTAATCAGGAAAAAAGGGAGTGTGGTAGCACAGAGGGCAGAATATGTCAGCACTTTTTAACCTAAGAAAGGTGGGTAAATGGTGTTTCTATTTGCTTTCTGCTTATAGAGATCTAATTTTCCTTTTTTTGTAAAGAAAGCCCCAGTTACACAAAGAAACATGGAAGGGACAAATGCATGAGGCTAAGTTGAAGAAGCCAGTCAGTAAAAGCTGCATACTGTTGTGATTCCAACTCAGATATTCTGCTAAAGGCAAAACTATAGAGACAGTGGGAAGACTAATGATTGCCAGGGGCGTCAGGGGTTGGGGGGGGATGCGGTGTGCAGTGAGGAACAGGTGGAGCACAAGGCATTTTTAGGGCCGGGAAACAATTCTATCTGACACTATAATGGTACATAGATGAGATTACCCGTTTGTCCAAATCTATAGAACTGCACAAACAAAAGAGTGAGCTCTAAAATGTAAATGGTGGACTTCAGTTAATAGTAATGTATCAATATTGATTTATCAACTGCAACAAATGTACCACTAATGCAGGCTATTGATAATAGGGGCATGCGGGAACTCCCTGTAGTTCCTGCTCAATTTTTCTGTGAAACTACAACTGCTCTGAAAAACAATCTATTAAAAACTAATGAAGAAGGTAGAGGCACTATAAAAACAAAAGTCCATCTCAGCAGCAACATGGCATTGTCATAATTTTCATTCTCCTTGAAGGCACTAATCTTGCTTTGCTAAGAAAAGCCTCACTTCAGAGTCTGCCCTGAAGGGAGTCACTTGTCTGCCTGAAAAGTAGCGCGAGAACTTGGGGTTTTTACAAATTACTTGAGGCAGGGACCAAAATCACCTTAGCAACATAGTGAACCGTCATAGACTGCCAGCTAGGAGCCAGGCACTGTGTAAAGTACTTTATATATTAACTCATTTAATTTTCATAGCATGATAGGTGCTTTCATTATGTCCACTTTGCATGGGGCACAGAGAAATTAAGTTACTAGCCTAAGGTCCCACTTTTGGAAAGAGGCTACACGAGCATTCAAACCCAGGCAGGGAATCTTTTTTGGTTTTTGTTTGTTTAAGTTCATTTATTTATTTTTGAGAGAGACAGAGACATGTGAAGAGGGGAGGGGCAGAGAGAGGAAGACAGAGAGAGAGAATCCCAAACAGAGCAACCAAGAGTCAGACACTCATTTCCAGGTTGGGGCACCTGGGTAGCTCAGTTGGTTAAGTGTCCAGCTCTTGGTTTTAGCTCAAGTCATGATCTCATGGTTTGAGGGATGAAGCCCCATGTTGGGCACTGCACTGACAGCACAGAGCCTGCTTGAAATTCTCTCCCTCTCTCTCTGTGCTCCTCCCCTGCTCTATCTCTCAAAATAAATAAACTTAAAAAAAAAAAGTCGGATGCTTAACTGACTAAGCCACCCAGGCGCCCTGAGAATCTGTGTTCTTAACGCCATACTGGCTCCAAATACTGTTTTTAACCATCACATTCAGTTACCTGGAAGCAACTTTTTAAGAGAGAGAGAGGGAAAGAAAGAACTCAAGCTAGGGAGAGGGGCAGAGGGAGAGACAGAGAGACAGAGAGAATCTTAAGCAGGCTCGATGCTCAGCGCAGAGCCTGACATGGGGCTGGATCCCACGACTTTGGTATCACGACCTGAACGGAAACCAAGAGTCAGATACTCAACTGACTGAGCCACGCAGGGGCCCCAGAAGCAACTTAAACTTAAGTGACAGCTCAGCCCAAGCTGGACCGAAGAAACTGAGGTAGGGTGAACAAATGTTCCCAGACATAGGTACGCCAGTGTTTGCTTTAACGTCTCCCTCCGCGCCTTCAAGCAGCTCATTATGCGTGAGCTGAGCACGGAGATACCTTACCCAGGAAGTAGAGAAGGGGGAGCCAGGGAGCGGCATCAGAGGACTCTTACTAGTCTCAACTCCTAGCCGATACCTGCTGGAAGAGAGGGAACACCAAACAGCACTGCTCTCCTGATAATGCAGAGAACCGGCCAGCTGCGGTGGGAGAATCTGGCCCCAACACATTTCCTCCAAGAAACAAAGGCTCGACTCTACTGGCCATCTGTGGGGTGCCTCAGCCCAAGGGCTCCTCTCTGTAGTAGTTATTTGTGGTTCTCCTCTGGTAAACATCCCTCCCACATTCTGAGTGTTGGCTACGACTGCCTTCTACCCTGGCCTGAGGTTGGCATGTGACTTCAACCTGCCCAATAAGTTCCAATCAAAGTTAACTCTGGGATTTTTGCTCAAGCATCCTGGGAAATGGTCCTCTTTTCCACTGGGACTCTGTGCAAGCCCAGAGTTTGGGGCTGTCATCATGCTAACAGGGCCAAGACATGGAGAAAGACCAACTGTAGTCATCACTCACGTCTCTGTGATCTAATGATTCCTGAAGCCTGATTCGCAGTACATTAGTGTTTTGCTGTTGTTGTTATTTTGTTTTGTTTTTGCTGAAGCCAGTTCAAATCAGATTTTTTATTGCTTGCAATGTCAAGTGTCCCAACTAACACCCCACTCTGACCTGGGTCAGCTGTGAAAGACAAGCAGGGCTCATCCATAAGAGTGTCCCCACAGGAATCTAAGTTTACAGGCTGAATGCCGGCTTTCTCTTGCCCAGACCTGAAAGTGAGGCTAGATTGGCCCTCCCCTAAAAGCTGATTTCAGGGCCTTCCATTAGGAAGCTAAGAGTCAGAGTTTAAATAGCCCTTCATCCTAATGAGATCTGAGAGCCCAAATCCCCCAAAAGAAAGAACACTTTTCTTTACTGCTCCTTTGAAAGGTGAACATTTAATATGCCTTGTTAACACTTTCCCAGATGTGATCTGAGGTGCTACATCCTTCAGTGCATTTTAATCTTTTATCACATACCTCATGCCTTGTTGATACTTATTAATAAGCGAGAGGCTGATGAAGTGGTATCTACCTAGGGTCTCATTTTGGGGAAGGAAATACAGAAGCTGAGGGCACTGGGACTTGACCTGCAAGGAAAGAGAGCCCAAAAGGCTGGCTGGCTAAAATGCAAAAGAAACAGGGCTAACTGTAGCTCCTAGGCAAGGCCCTTTGTGGGGCCTGGTTCCCTAAAATACAAGCTGGCTGAGGTCAGCACTAAAGACAACAGCTGTTCTCACAGTGACAAGGAAGCATACCCAGATGTTCCCCAGCCAGCAAAGCAAGCGTTTCTAGAACAAAGGCAATCCTAGCCAGGACTCCAATTTAGTCTATGTGAACTTTGCCCGGGGCTCACCCTGCCTGGTCCCATTGGTCCCAGGTGAATTCTGGTGGACACACATTTGGGATGATCCAAAACAGGGCTATTAAAACTAAGTCTGACAACATCCAAGGTTGGGGAAGAAGTGGGGAAACAGGAATGGGGCTCTCATGAGTTATTAAGCCGGGGGAGGGGGAAGACAGTAAATTAGTTTAACTTCTGGGGGGCCATTTGGCTGTATATATGAAGATTTAGAGACTCATTTATGCATGTCTAGGAATTTTTTTTAAGTTAATTGATCATGGGCCCAGAGGTGAATGTTCACTGCAGCATTACTTATACGGAAAGCCAGAAACAAGTGGAATGAATATGCATCAGCAGAGGATGAGAAAAGTAAACGATTGTGCCTAATGGGAAGCTCGGCATCATGAAAAGGATACTATGCTCCACAGTCACTGGCCTGGAAGGGCCTCTGTCCATGAGACAATGCTGATTTAAGCAAGCACACTGCAGAACACTGCATACATTGGTGGCTACATCTGTGAGTCACTTGGAGAGCTCAAAAAACCTAAGCCCAAACAGACTTATCCAATCAGAACAAGGGGGCAGGCCCTGGTAATTTTTTTGAGCTGCCCAAGTGATTCTAACGTACAGCTAGGTTAAGGACCGCTCTATGGGATTGTCTCGTGTGTGTGTGTGTGTGTGTGTGTGTGTGTGTGAAAGAGAGTGGGAGGGAGGGAGGGAGGGAGAGAGACAGACTGTGTGTGTTCACTGAGAGATGTCTGGCAAGATGGGAGCAGTCAGCAGCAGCTCCCTTTGGGCAATGGGATTCTGAACAATTTTTGTTATTTTTACTTGCTGAAACTTCTACATGATTATTGTTGGTTTTTGTCATCAAAAAGGAATAATAAAGCTATTTTGTTTTGGAAAAGAAAGAGGGGACAGAAAGACAACTCACTTGGCTTGGGAATGTGTCAGAGCGTGAAATAGAGGAGGGTGTGACGTACCCCTAGACCCCTCATCACCAATGTGCCAGGCCTGATACTATTGGTACCGACCTGGGTCCCAGATACCTTTGTCCCTGGATCTTACGTACATATGAAGTACTGGCTGCATTTTCACAAGAAAAGATGCATGTAGTAGAGAACCAACATCCCCCCTCTTCCCTGCTCTTATAGTGTGAGCTTGAACAAGTTGCCCGATATTCCTGGACATCAGTTTCCTGCTCTATAAAATGGGGGACTGATAAACCCTGTATCCTCAAGGCACAAAGTTGTCCAGGCACATCAGTAAGATAAGGGCCACTCAAGTGCTTCGAGAAGAGAGGAGTATTCTTTTTTTTTTAGATACTGATTTGTTTGTTTTGAGAGAGCGAGCATGAATGGGGGAGACAGGCAGAGGGAAAGAGAGAGAGAATCTTAATCAGGCTCCACGCTCAGCACAGAGCCTGATGCAGGGCTTGATTTCATGATTGTGAGATCATGACCTGAGCGGAACTCAAGAGTTGGATGCTTAACTGAGCCACACAGGTGCCCTGAGAGATGAGTAATTCTGTGGTAGACTAATCAGGCATGTGGCCTCTGGATCCAGCCTGTGTGGACTCAAACCCTGGCTCTGCCTCTTAGGCAAGATGTGTAGCCTTTCTGTGCGTCAGTGTCCTATCTGCAAAATGGACCTCAGTGGGTTATTGTAGGGATTAAATGAGATTAGCCACTAAAATGCTCAGAATGGCACCTGGTCCATGGTAAACACCTACTAAGGTTAAATGTTCTTATTTTTGAAGACCCCAATGCTTGGGTAGTTCTAGCATCTCTGTTTTATTACAAGTAAACTAGACCATCAGGTTCAACAACACTGAGTCTTAACCATCTGGGGTTCGCAGACAGCTTTGAGAATCTGACAAAGTGACAGACAAAAATTCCCCAATGAATGTACAAAAATGTACATCCATTTCAGGAGTTCTTATTACCTTTGAGGTCCAAGGGGAGTCTATGGGTCTCATATAAAGAGGATCCTGTTCCAGGAGGAGCCAGGGAAGAGGTGGCTCCACCAGGACCCCACGAATTAGCCAGGCTCCTGACCTCTGCTCATCACATTCCCTGGAGAGCCCTCTGGGCTCCCAGTGATTATCCCCATCCTGACTCCTATCTTTTCCTGGTAACATGGTGAACCAGTGCCACCAGAGCTGACACTCCTGCTAAATCCTTTGACAAACATGGGCTTGCTGGCCTGAGGCTTTCTAGGAAGAATGAAACAGCTCTGATAAATACCACACCAGGGTTTCCAGCCCTGTCCACAGGTGGGGCCTCCCTCCAGTGGGTCTGGCCAGGAGTCGGGGGTACAGATGAAGCTGGGCACATCCAGGTGGGGAGGAGGGCACTGGGTGGCCTTGGAGGACCTGATGGTTTGATGTGCTTCCCCCTGCCTGCAGGGCACAGGCAGGCTGCCTTTAGCACTCAACCCAGAAAAGTAGACTCTGCAATACAGCTGGCTGGTGAACATTGCCCAGGTACCTTGGTGAGCATCACTGAAAAGGGGACTGTGACCATCTGGAATGGGCCATCTCCCAGCTGTATGTCCTTGGGCAAGTGACTGAACCTCTTAGAGTCTCCACTTAATTCATCTATAAGGTGGAGATAGTAATGGGACCTATCTCAGTGGGTGGAGGTGAGGCCTAAAGAGAAAACAGAGGTTAAGGCCTTAGAATAGTGCCTGGCACATAGTAAATGCTCAATAAACAACGACTATACTAGGTAATAATTACTACTGCTGCTGCTGCTACTACTATTAATGCTGTCATTATTATTATTATTATTATAGCCCCTGATAAATCTTCAAGTAACTGAGAAAAGGCAATTTTATTTAATTTCAAGTGCTGGGAACTTAGCCGACTCACTTGAAGTAATGACTCTAAGAAATACTTCTGAAGCATCTATAGGGGCTCTGAGTGCCTGCATCACATCCTCTAGGCCCACCTCTGAATCCCGCCACAGCAGTGTGGACAGTCCTGGGTACCCAGACAGCCTCCACCTCTAGTGCCCACTAAATCTCTGCTTTTGTGCCTCAGAAGCCAATGGAACTTATGTAGCCAGAGTAGTGGGAGATGTGACAATGAGAGTAGGAGACCGAGGACACACATGAGGGTGAGTGATGGAGGAACTGGTGGCAGATGCTACAGGCTCCAGATTTCAAAGATCAAGTCTGAGGCTTGTTCTACATGCATCCCTGGCAGGACCGAGTCCCAGCTGCCCACAGCAGTGACCAACATATTGACCTACTTGTTTGGGCATTTCTGCCTTCTTGGTCTCGTTATCCGTCCCTCTCCCTTGCAGGGAACACTTCCTGGGTAAGCCAGCTGTACCCAAGTCTTGGGCTCTGCTTTCAGGGGAACCCAAACAAGATACACATCCAGCATGCCAGGTCCTGGGGGAGACCCTCAGCATGTGACACTCAGTATGTTACTTTTCACAACTCGAGAGGTACATTCTCTCATTGTCTGTATTTTACAGATGAGAAAAACAGGTTCAGAGAGGTAAAGCAATTTGCTTAAAGCCACACATCGAGGAAGTACAAAGGCAGGATTTGAATCCAGACATCTGACTCCAGGGCCCAATTCATACACTCGTGATGACGAAAGTGGGAAGGAGACACAAGCGTTGCTCCCAATATCCCCTGCATCCGTCTAGCACCTGGACTACAAACTCAAACACTTCCAGGTAGCCAGAGAATTAATGTTAATATGTTACAGTGGCTGGGTTAGGGTCAACAGGGAGTGGTGGGGAGTGTGGTAAACACAAAGTGGATCCCCATGTAAAGGAGCAGCCACTTGGACTGCTTGCATAATTTAAGTATTGTAAATAATATTGCATAAACATAGGGGTGCATATATCCCTTCCAACTAGTGTTTTCATATTCTTTCGGTAAATAGCCAGGAGTGCAATTACCGGATCATAGGGTAATTCTATTTTTAATTTTTTGAGGAACCTCCATACTGTCTTCCACAGTGGCAGCCCAAGTGTCCCTCAGTAGATGAATGTATAAAGAACACGTGTATGTATACAATGGAATATTACTCATCCATAAAAAAGAATGAAATCTTGCCATTTGCAACAACATGGGTGGATCCAGAGAGTAGAATGCTAAGTCAATGCAATACTGCATGATTTCACTCTTATGTAGAATGTAAGAAACAAAACAAACGGAAAAACAAAAACAGACTCTTAACTATAGAGAACAAACCAGAGGGGAGGTGGGTAGAGGTGGGAGGGTGGGTAGCATAGTTGAAGGGGATTAAGAGTACCCTTGTCCTGATGAGCACTGAGCAATTATTCGGAGCTGTTGAATCACTGTATTGTGCCCCTGAGACTAATATAACACTGCCATGTTAACTACACTGGAATTAAAAACAAACAAACAAAAAAAAGGAGCAGCCACAACTCGTGAGAGGTCGGGCCTTCCTGCACACACCGTCCATCAGCTCCAGACAATTGTTGCCAGGTGGGAATGTCGACCCAGCATTGCCAGAGCTGACTTTTCAAAAGAGGTGAGAAACCTGGGTTTTATATTTAAATAAGTTGGCAATTGATAGGAAAACATGCTAAATAAAAACCCATCTCTGGGCCAGTTTTATTTAGCACAGGAGCCAATGTTTGTGGGCTCCCATCTGCCAGGACACTGCCCTCCCCCACCCACCCCCACCCTCCCCCCAACCCCCGCCCGGATCACCCATCCCCACTGGAGAGAAAGAAGGGAGTCCTTCTGGGGCAAATGGCCCCAGAGGCCACCCCGCGCCAGGGGGTGGGGTGGCGATCACGTTACCTGCGTTGTGTTCATCCATGGAGAAGGCCTTGTTCTCCATGTAGGTCCGCGGCAGCTGCACATCCTCCTCAAACGCCGTCTCCCGCATCCTCGGCTGCGACGTGTCGAAGTAGTTGGGCGTGTTCTCCTGCGGGGCCGGCAGAATGGTGCAGTGGATTTCAGGGATGGCATGGAAGATGACGAAGACCCAGCCGCTGGCCACCAGTGTGATGGCCAAGGTGGGGTCGCCCCAGGCGTCTCCCTGCCGCAGCTCCGCATTGCCAAAGAGGTACATGGTCATCCAGGCCACCCAGATGAGCACAGAGAGGAAGGCCGTGACCAGAATGCAGGCCCCGTTCTGCTTCCACTTCTTGAACTTGCCGCACAGCGTGAAGAGGGCCAGCCCCAGGGCCGCCACAAGCAGTACCATGTCGTAGATGAGGGCCATTACAAAGTCCATGGGCTCGTAAGCGCAGGCCGGCTTCGCGTCGCGCAGCACGGTCAGCACCAGCCACTCGATGGCGATGATGACCTGCACGAGCATCAGGCACAGCGCCACGCCCACCAGCTGCCAGCCGGATGGGCTCTTGCCGTGGCGCACCAGCCTCCGCACACGCCACGCCTGGCTCAGTAGGCAAGAGAAGCAGAGCGCGAAGAGGACGCCCCAGAGGAACCTGCGGACCGAGCAGATAGTCTCGTCCTCCCGGATGATGAAGGCGAACGTCAGCCCGAAGAGGCCCAGGGTCCCCAGGAGGAAGAGGAAGTGGAGGCCCACGGGGTCCTTCTTCTCCTTGTCCTTGATAAATGGCAGCCGCACCAGCAGGATGAGCATCAGGAGCAGCGTGATCAGGGCGCCTGCCCCGGCCACCGCCTCCACCACGATGCCCCAGATGGTGTCCAGGTCGCAAAGGGACACGTACTGAGGGAGGAGATCCAATCCGCAGCCCCGGGACGTGCTTGAGTTCTCAGAAGCCCCGGAGGCAATTACGAAGAGCAGGAGGAAGGCGAGCACCTGGTGGGTTCTCATCTTTCCCTCTGACACCAGAAATGTTCCAGAATATTGAGGATAGAGGAGATGTTTGGAGGGAGAAAAAGACCAGTTCACTGTCAGATTCCCACTTTCCTGACTTCTTTAAGACCCACCTCCTTTCAAACCTGCTAGCCCATAAGTTACCTCTGACAGGTCAGAAAAAGGCACCCCTTTCTCCAGACGGCACAGCCCCTGGGGTGGGGGTGGGGTGCACGACCCGGATTTCAGCTCCCATCTGCTGCTTTGGTCTGGCACAGTGAACAATCATGAATCATCATTGCTAGTGGTTGGAGAAGAGCGTGAGAGAGAGATTCACTCTCTCTGTATACTCTTTTGTATTCTTTGATTTTTATATTCTGTGCTGTGTCTGACCTCTTCAAAAATAAGGGAATGAAAGCAAAACTTTAAAGAGACAGCCATGAACCCAGCACTGTGCTGAGAATGGTATGTACTGCCTCCTTTCAGTCTCTCAATGGTAACGGCTAATATTTACCCATGACTCACTCGAAGCCAGGCACTAGGCACATCCAGTCCTTACCCTGGTGACAAAACAGGGTCTCCAAGGGGTTAGGATACTCGCCCAAGCTCCTAGAAGCATGCCCTCATTTCCAACATGCCATATCCAATATGAACTATCTTCCTGGGATCCCCCTCTCCCTCTGCCCTCACACCTCCCCCAAAGGTCACCAGGGAACCCATCCTCACTGCACCTCCATCCCTCCCTCCCCAGGTGCTTGCAGGATTCCCCTTGGTACTCTTTCTGGACTCCCCACAGCAGCCATGGCAAATGGGCTTAACCCAAGTCCCATCTTGCCCCTCCTGCTCCTTCTGCTTAAACACTCTTGACCCCTTGAGTGGAAAACTGCACCCCCCCCCCACCTCCCTGACCATGTCACCCTCTGAGACCTTGGCCAAGGTCACAGCCCCATCCCTCTTCACCAGAGCCTGTCTATTTCTTTCTTTGCTCTAATCATCTCTGTATTTTTTTTTCTTCCCTGTCTACTTTGTTTCTCTCATTCTTTTTCCTCTTTTCCCTGCCTTTCTCCACTTCAAGATGCAGGAGGACACAGACACTGTCTAGGTCATCACGGTAGACCAGGGTTTCTCAACTTTGGGGTCACTGACATTCTGGGCCAACCATTCTTTGCTGTGAGGGCCGTCCTGTGCATTGTGGGATGTTCAGCAGTGCCCTTGGCTTCTATCCACTAGATGGGTGCCCGTGGCACACCCACTCCCCCAACTGTGACAACCCCAAAATCTTTTGACGTTGCCAAATGTCCCATGGGGGTGGGGATGCAAGATCGCTGGGATGAACACCACTGGTGTAGACTGAAGCACCAGCACACAGTGCTGGCACAAAATAGATGCTTAGTAAATGTTGAATGAACGACAGACTTATTCACCAGGACCCTATCCTCTACCCCACTGGCACCAGCTCTTGCTTTTGGAGGGAGCCTGGCCTTCACAGAAAGCCATGGCCTACACAGCTGTGCTCTCTTGGTCATTTCCAGGGGGCTCAGGCTGGACCTACCACCTTGGCTGCACATGAGTGAGGCTATAACCAGCCACCTCCAGCCACCTCCAGCTCATCCCTGGGGCTTCCTTAAGTAAATGCAGTATCGACTTCCCTCTCTCTCTCTCTCTCTTTCTGCTCTTTTATGGGATCCCATGAGCAGCACTGATCCTGCCTTGGCCATGAAGCCATTGACTGGGATAAATTATTGATGACACTGGATGAGGAGCCTGGTGCTATACGGATCGTCACCTTTGCCTATAGATGAGAGAAGGCAGGCCCAGAACAGAAGGCATCTGGCAAGAGATGCTTCTTTTTTTTTTTTTTTTTTTTTTTTAATGTTTATTTATTTCTGAGACAGAGACAGAGCATAAGTGGGGGAGGGGCAGAGAGAGAGGGAGACAGAATCTGAAGCAGGCTCAGATTCTCAGGTCGCTCGAACGACTGAGCCAGCCAGGTGCCCCATGGCAAGAGATGTTTCTTAAATGCATCCCAGCATCCCACCCAAGCAAATTAGGGGTGAGGATGCTCGCCAGAGGCTGGCAGTCAGACTCATGGTCCGGCCCCTATTCATCCAGCCAATTAACTTCCCTTTTTGTATTAAGCCAGTTTGAGCTGGGTTTGTGTTCCTTGCCAACAAAGAAGTTCTATTATTCCTCCCACATCATGTGGCCCCCTTCTTCCAGGATGTCCTCCCTCCCCAACATCTAGGCATGTGGATGCAACCAATGGCAGCCAGGCGTTTTAGTGGGATCCAGCTGTCTCAAGTGGGATTATTATTATTGTCAAGGATGCCCATGAGGGGACAGCCACCCCACTCTACAGAACAATGTCTAGGATGATCTGGACGGCTACACACTGCCTCAGTATGAAGCAGAGTCTGGCTCATGTAGGATTTCTGTGGGATTCAGAATTGCCCTCCAGAGTTTTCTATTTTGCCATAGTGACAATGACAGTAACTAACTCTTAGTGCTTGCAACACTGTAGGCACACTTTTATGAACTTCACATATAGTAATGACTTATAATCTGCACAGTGACATTACGAGGCAAGTACTATTACTATTTCCATTTTACAGGAAATAAAACATGGAGTTCAGCTGGCTTGTTCGAGGTCACACAGCTAGAAAGTGGTGGAGCCAGGAGGCAAACAATTGTACTATTGTTACTTGGGCTTCTTATGACAGACCAGGGCTCTAGAAATGTCACCTGGTGAGGGAGCCCTTTGCTGGCCAGTCTGTCTAAATTAGGTCCTTCCTGCCTCCCTTAAGCTCTATGCCAGTACTTTTGATTTTCATCTTTGTAGCATGTGCCATAATTTCCAAATATTTTGTTACCCTTTTGGTCTGTTTCCCCCCTCTCCCATGTCCAAGCCCTTGTTTGTCTTGTTCTGCACAGACTCTAGTACTTGGCACATGGGCAGGGCTCACAACCCAGCTGCTGGATAAATATGGATGAATGGATAAATATGGTCTCAAACAGGGGTGCCTGGGTGGCGGAGTCGGTTAAGTGTCCGACTTTGGCTCAGATCATGATCTCACGGTTCATGGGTTTGAGCCCCGTGTCGG